AAGGTCAAAATTTGAAGCCCTTCACCGGTATATGGTGACGTCTCTATATGAGTGAAAAATTCTCGAATGGGACGTAAAACAATATACAATCAATCAATCAGTCAATCTTTATCGTGCCAACGCCTGCCGTGACACGGGGCCTCGGTTTTTAAGGTCTCGTCTGAAGGACCCGTATTTTTTTCACTTCGAAGTGCCAAGCGCACGAAGGAACAGTTGCTACCCATTTTTATTGACTTGGGCCAGTCGCGACCGAGATTCGAACTCACGACCTCCCCATTACCAGAAGAAAACGGAGTTACAATGCAGAGATCCAGACAAATTCACATAAGTGAATCCTCTTAAAGACTGATTTGCGAAAATTGGAGAATTTGTCTGAATCTCTGCATGGTAAATCCGTTGTGTTCTGATCACATAAGAGAATCCTCTTCGAGACTCACTGATTTGCGAAACTTGTTGAATTTGTCTGAATTCTGCATGGTAAATCGGTTTTGTTCTGATCATTACTTTTCTCTCCGGGGTTGGTGTTCTCTCTGGAATATCCCATATACATATCATGCCTGAATACAAGAAAAAAATATGATTTTTATCTCATACTTTGAATTATTGTTTCCAATTTTCCCCTAATTTCAGTGTTCACTAGAAATTACCTGTGCTGGGAAAAACATCCCTCATTGCATTGAGCACTCTGTGTCCCGTTGATCAGGATGTCTTGTATCAAATATCTCATTTTTTTTATAAGTTGATCACCGCTTGCTGATCATTTACAGAAACATTTATAATTTAATCGTCATTTAAATTTCAGCGGTTGCCAGATTCACTCATTTCTGTACTTAGTTATCATAGTACAAAATGAAAATCAATTTGTAACAAGCAAAATTTCAAAGTCCAACTTTCTTTTGTCCCTGAAGGACTTTTGCAATGCTGCTACCTCAAAACAAACCCTCTCAAGCCAATGGACCATAGGTTATTTCAATTCTGTTTTCCTTACAATAAATAAAACTTACACAAAGTATAAAATTGGGATGTATATACTTTTGTGTATAATTTTACTTACTCGTCAAAGGACACTCCTCAATAAATCCAGTAAACTCTTCATCTACATCAATAATCAAAATACAAACAGAATGAAAGAAATGTAAATGAGTATTTATTGCCCTAGACAAAGTAATTAGATAATAAAACTATTAAGGTTACATATCAAATAGATCCCAACCAAGAACTGTAAAATATTTGTAATTTCTGGTGTATTAATTGTGTCTTTTGTGTTTTATTTGACAAATAAATAAAGTACTAAAATTTAAAAATAATTTCCGTTGGAATCGATGTTTACATATAGGGTGTAACGTTTTTAAATCTAATTATTTTTCTTAACTATCATATTTTTATTACAAACTACATATCGTTTTATACATCAAATCCTGCATTTTTATTCCACGTGAAAAAGTCAAGGAAATTATGGTAATACAATGATTAATTGTGACATAAACGCCGATGTCATAATTTGAATATTTTACAAATGAACTTAAATTATCAACATATTGCTGAATTGTAAAGCTGGTTTTTTTTTCTTCAATACATGTCGCCAATATTCATTCAGAAGTTGATGAAGGAAATTCCAAAAGAATGGAAACTCTTCTGATGCTTATCAGAAGGCTAATAACAAGGTTAAAGGGATGGGCGATTAATGACACAGTAACTCCAGAAAGGCTAAGGACTTCAAGAACCGAAGATTTAATTGGTGAAGTGGAGACTCTTAGATAGTTTAGCAAACTCCTGAGAAAAGTGTCTGAAGGATGTTTTCAGAAACTGATGCTGGCAATATCAGCATTTCCATCATATATTGCTTTGAAATATGATATGAAGTTAGCAGCGTACAAATTTTCAATAATGCAATACCCCAAGAAAAGAGTTTGATCTCTAGCTGCATTACCCAATCTCAATCTTCGGGACTTTTTCTGTGGGGGTTCTTTAGGAATGGGGTCTGCAATCGTAGACCACAGATACATTAGTAAATGTAATAAAATAGCTTTGGGGTTTAGCAGAGCTTAACGGGGCTCAGAAACCCCTTTTTAATTACATTTTTACCAAGTACCCCGGTACTCGATCGGAAAAACGTCCGAGTAACCGATTGTCAAATATTGACCAATTTGACATCCCTATAAATAATCAATCCCTAAAATATAAAGAGATCGTAAGTTTTGTCTGCTGCTTAGATAAGCAACTTTGTATCGTTTTCGGCGCAATTCTATACAAGATTTTGCACATATTTTTGACATTGTGACACAATTTTACAAAATTCTCCCACTTTACCAGAAAATATCAATCAGGTTACCTATTTCTTTAAAAAGTTTTTTTTTTTAATTATCCTTAAAGATATTTCTGAATCAAGACTTTACCTTGATCTCAAGACTTTATCTTGATCTCAGGACTTTACCTTGATTTCAGTGCTCCCTGTCGAGTTCAGCAACCTCTTGTTCTGATGCAGATCAACATGCACACAGGACATTACGATGCTGGTGCACTCGTGAACTTCAGTCTCTCATAGACCTCCCCACAATTTTACATCAATCGATGCCTGTCCATCTGATAGTGTGACAACTTTCCTCCTAGACTTGGTGCCTTCAATGACGCTTGAAACCTTAAAGGAAAAGTGTATTTTGAACACACTTAAATTTCAATATAACTAACAGTTATACAATTTTTATAAGCCTAAAATGTAATAATTTTGATACTATCAGAATAATTGCTGCTTTAGAGACTATTTAGTCATATCAAAATAGAGTCACGTCATCATGGTCACAAAGAAACAAAATATGATCACCAATAACAATATCAAGATTCCATTACATTAAAATAATCCTTATTCTACTTATTTTGATATTCTTGCAATATTGTGTAATTGAAAAAAACTGTACTCACCGTAATAACTTTACCCTTTACGCTTATCCTTTTCTTGTTCTCGAAGGAACCAATTCTTCCCTTTTCCTCCAACTGGTGGCTCCACAGACACCTGAATCACATCGAAAACTCTGTTTTTTCGTGTACATCTTATAATGACGCTTGAAAGAAGATTTGTTATAAAACGACTTGTTGCATATAGTACAAATTGCCTGCATAATTAACACTCGCTCTTTCAGATGAGATTTTTTCATACTTATTGTTAGGCCATTATTTACACACTGAATTGTCGACGGATTTTTCAGTTATTTCCCGATCATGACAAGGAGCCCATGGCGGGTGTGACCGGTCGGAAGGGGATGCTCACTCCTCCATGGCACCTGATCCCACCTCTGATGTTTGGAGGTCCGTGTTTGCTCTGCTCCTATTTTGTATTGTTTAATGTTAATGTATTTCTTTACCACAATTATCTAGGACCCCCGTTCTACAAAAGAACTTACGACTAACACCAAAATTTAATTCTGCTAATATCTTTCTTATTATATTAAAAAGAAATTTTTAAATTATTTTAAAAATTATGTAGAAAGATACATCTATGCTAGCAATTTTAAACAATCATTAATTTTGCAAAAATTTACAATCAACTGAAATTTCTTTTGGTCTTAGTCGTAAATTTTTTTTTGTAAAACAGGCCCCAGATTTTCATAAATTCCTTATTTTCGTAGGAATGTAACCTATTGAACACAGATTTTTATTTTCATTCCAATATAATTTATCATTTTAGACACTCGCAGAAGAAAGTCTACAACAGCGAGTTTTCCGGCTGGAGGAGAGCTTAGAAGCTCTGAAGCAGGAGCTTCAAGGGAGGAAATCCTCCGAAATTTTACATGTTTGTAATTTTTGTAAAAATTAAAAAGTTTAAATTTCAACATGTCTTTTCAGTTTTGTTCCCTGTTGAAACAGGAAGTTAAAGACTGTAGCACTGTAGAATGTTCTTAAATTTACAAAATGACCACTGACACAATAATACAAAGATTACAAATAATCCAAATACTTATATTCCGTTTATTCAATGCATAAAGAATATCAGAGGAACCAACATATTAACAGTGTTTATAATTTAACACAAAGAGAATCTGACAGTTGTACATATTACAAATTAAATCAGTAGGTAAGTCTATTGGGTGGAGCGGCGGAGCGGTCTGGGTTGAGGAGCTGGTGGAGGTGTGGGGGGTCGGACTGAGCGAGGTGCAATCTCGGCTCTTCGTCTTCTAACAAACAGTCCCAGTTGGTAAATCACTGAAAAAAGTTAATCAGTCTTAAAGTCCCGCATAACAACTGCGTCGAATTCTGTAAGAGACTGGGACTTGATCTCAATGTCCATCCGCCTTCCTTGACACTTTCTTTTGATTGCACGTAAAACCAGCGAGGAGAATGCGAGAACCACTACACTTGTCCCTCAAAGGATAGCATATATCCAAGGTTTGTCTAAATAAACAAAATATAGCTTTAGAAACAACTTGTTTTGTGATTTATATAATCCATTATTTTCTCTTTTCCAAATTAAAGTTCAAACCTTACTGAAAGTTACGATAGTCTATTCTATGGTCCGGAGGTTGATGGAGATCATCTGGTCAGTGACGCCGCTGCTCTGCTGGCCGTTCTTAATAAGAGAAACAAGAAACATGAATGCCTAATTTTTATTTCTTTTTTTCTATATTTAATGAAAATGCTTAAAGATATATTTACCTGATAAGTTTTTATTTTTATTATTATTATTATTTTAATGACATCGATAAAATAAATGAAAAGTCTTAAAGATATATACACTTACTCAAATGTTAAGGACCACCCACTTTGATATGAAAATTAAAAGTAACAAAAATATATTTTTGATTGAATATTTTCAGATTTACTAGTCAATCAAACGTTTATTTATTATTTGTTTTTATGTTACATCGATATCTCCATTCAAATACTTGTAAAACCGGTTTCTTCAAGGCCACCAATGCGTGTTCGAACAATGCATTTTCAATTGTATCCACATCCATGTTCGCATGAGCTTAACTGATAGAAATAAAAAAGTGATGTTTTGTGCAACCATGCCTCGTCGGAAACTCTCTGATGCTGAACGCTGGCAGGCCATTGGAATGGTAAGAACTGGAATGATGTATAGAAGGATTGGCGAACACTTTAATGTCAGTCAGACTGTAATATTGCGTCTGGTACAACGCTGGAAAAGAACTGGGGGTGTGGAAGAAGCTAAAAGATCTAGAAGACCCCGAAAGACTACAGAGAGGGAAGATAGACTTCTAAAACGACTAGCTAAACAGAATACTTCTGACACTGCAAACACACTGAGAAGCAAATGGAACACCAAAGGTCGAATCAGCAGAAGCACAGTTAACAGGAAGCTAAACAAGGAAAAGATGCGATCACGTCGGCCAATAAAACGTCCACTCTTATCCCAGAGACAAAGAAGCAAGTTTACTACCGACACGGCAGCATAGGAGGTGGAACATTCGGTCGTGGCAGAGAATACATTGGTCAGATGAAACCGATTTTTGCTTCACCCTGACGACGGCAGGGTTCGGGTATTGAGACACCCTAATTCTACACACAAACAGCAACATGTATTGGGAACAAAAGCATTTGGTGGAGGCGGTTTACAGGACCAAAATTAAAAAATGTTTGTTTGCCACTTTCCGATCCAGATTTTTAACAATGGGTAGGTACGTAGGCAAAATATTTTATTTTTTCTTTTGAAAAGAAGAATAACGGCCAAAATGCTCATTTGTGTCACTTTTGATATTGCTGCTCTTCTAATGTTTGTTTTTGAAAGATTTTCTACATTCCCATGAAAAATTGTGGGCCCACCCTAGGCTCAAGGACACAACATAACTGAATTTGATTTTTCCCCTACATGCATAATTGTACATGGGCAGAAGGGCACTTTATGCTGCAACAAGAAAAAGGAATATACGTGTTTTCTGTTGCATGCTTAAAATTATAAGGCCTTAAGGTGTACAAAAAAATCAAGGAAGGGGGGATTAGAAATTAGAAAAAAAAATGTAAGGGGCATTTTCTGTGGGAGCACCTACTGCGACACGGGACCTCGGTTTATACGGTCTCATCCGAAGGACCGGTCTCCACGTCCCACAGTGGGATTCGAACCCGCGACGTAAGGATCAACTCCTTACTTCGCGACTCTAGAGCAGACGCTTTAACCACTGCGCCACGCGGGCGATTAAATCCTATTGAGACTTCTTTCTGGCTCAGAAACAATTGAACCTGTGGGTATCAACTTTAAAGTTTGAACAACATCATTTAATGTATTTGAGTTTTGACTGGATACTCTGTTTTTCCAAGCCCATTTCTCATCCATCTTTTAAATTTTAGTACATTACACGCAAGTTAAAATCAGCACTTTTCCTCATCAACTATGTTTTTTTTCTACTTTCGGTTTTAAAAAGCACCTCCAATTTTGATAAGCATTTTAAATTTATTTAACAATAATTTATGTTTGATATCTTTTACAAATTATGCTCCAATACCCAGTCATTTTTCCTATCCCCTATTACTACTTTTGTCGGTTATGTGCGTTTAAGCGAGACGTGATTTCCTGTACATTTCACACCTTTGCTTACATTAAATATCTAAGGCGATATTGCCGCATGCACTGAATAAGCAAAATAGATATTCTAGAATTAACACAGATTTCGCCAGTTAGATTTTATTTTTAATGCTATATGTACTAGTCAAAGCATCTAAATGACTTTAAAGAAGTTTTAACAAGATTAAAACAAACTAGTTTGAAATTATTTGAATAACAAAAAATGTAAATGAAAAAAGAGCAATAAAATATTTTGAGTCGGGCGAATTTTTGTGGGTCGGTCGGCTGAGGGCAAACAAACAATATTTTAATCTAGGCCCAGTATTGGGATGTTTCTCTTTGCGGTGTAAACTGGAGCTGCACATTCCTGATGGCACCTTAACTGCACAAAGTACAGGTACAACATACAAAGCCAATTAGTTGTGCCTCATTTCGATGATCATTCATTAGCACGTCGACCTGTACTAATAGATGACAACGCTAGACCTCATCGGGCCCGAATAGTTAAAGACTATCTTTCCCATGAATCCATTGAAACTATGACCTGGCCCACCATGTCCCCAGATATGAACCCAATTGAACATTTGTGGGATTATCTTGGTCGTAGAATTAATCAGAGGACCCCAAGATGTGAATACTTACAGGATTTGAAAGATGCTTTAATTCAGGAATGGAGACAGTTCCCCCAAAACCGCCTAAGACGACTTGTCCACAGCATGAGAAGGCGTGTAAAAGAACTGTACAAAAGTTGTGGTGGATGTACACATTATTAAATACCTATGCTTATAAAATGTTGAAAATAAATTGATGACTCTCTAAATGCCAATAAAGTTAAACATGCTTATTGCTAGCACTTTTTGTCCACAACAAATTAAAATGAAACTTTAAATTCTACATTTTCAACTTGTATTCTTATCATTGGAAAATTACTATTTGCATAAAACAAATTAGTTATCAGGTGATTTCGAAACATGCATTGACTAAGGAGAGTTTAGATCTACTCAGATTTATAAACAAAAATTAAATAATTAATTGGATTGGTCTAAGATAATGGAAAGTTTAAAGAATTTTCACAGAAATAGTGATGGTCCCTAACTTTTGAGTAAGTGTATATTTACCTGGCAAGTGCGAGAACTGATTTGAATCATGGTTCAGGCATTAGCAATGATGGATTCGTAGTTGGTCTGGGGGTCTTTAACTAACAGCCGGTCCAATAACGGATAGTCCCGCAAGTCTACATCTCCCCTCACTCGTCCGACTTTGACAAAGCTTGCCATTGAGAAGTTCCCTGACTCAAATTCTCTCAAATCTCTGCACTTTACCACCCCTTCGGTTACCCTGCACTGCGCATTGGCGTACGCCAACAAAATCACCAAAGAAAGAACTAGCATTGCGTCGAAAATTTCAGACAGAAAAAGGCCGGAATCTTCCTCCATCTCTTTTATAATAAATAATAACTCATTCCAATAAGGGGTGGAATTGTTAGCTAAATTACGATGTTATCTTTTTTTCCAAAAAATTAAATTTAAACGTTGCTAACTACAGGGTATTATTGTTTTAAAGAATAATGGGGAAAATTCTTAGATAATAGATATATACATTGATCTTTAAAACTTAAAAATTAAGTTCAACATCCCTGATTATTAAAATGGAACTGGTTCTTGACCAGTGGAAGTGTCCATATGGTGAAGTAGCTTTTGGGTAAAAAAAAATTATTATTTACAATGAAGTAGATAAATTAACGATTGATATTTGTCTTCATTATTTAAAAACAATAAATCATAGCGAGACGTAACTTAAATTATTTGATTCCGTAGAAGTACAAACGCCGCAGTTTTGAAGAATTCCATCCCATTGCCTCCCTTCTGAAAGCCGAGTCACACACGAGCTAGCGCCGCCTTTGGTGTTACCCGAAGACTGTTCCCTCGCTTAGCGGACCAGCTGCATGTAAGGGATATTACATAATGTGTATATACGTCTGTAGTAAGTTTGATTATATACGACTCATAGTTAGCACAGTGTTGAACTGAATATGCTGAACATTACAACTTTATTCGCGTAATAATATTATCTTTTATTTATCCATAAATATTATCTCGCGACATTATTCAAATCGACATTGATTTTTCTTATGAAAAGTAGTATTATTAATTACGTTTTTTTTTTTAAAAAGATTTTACTCTTTAGTGTTTTTTAAAGTTAGTCTCCCTTAAATCTCCGTTGTATTCGACTAAAACAATTCTTTAATGTGAATGCCCTTATTCCCATAAAAATACAAATACTGAGCGATATACACAGTTAATGAGGAGGCTAATACATTGTAGTTTTGTTGAAACCCTACTCATTGAAGACGCAACTCCTCTATTATGCATGATCAAACACGGGTAAAATAAACATATAGACACCTCCAATGGTCAAGGAGAAGTAAGAAATAAATTTTATATATTAATATAGTGTTATCAGTTTACTCAATAAGTTACTACCCCCCCCCCCCCCCGATTTTGCGTTTGTTAAATTTCAAGATGAAGCAGCGTCTGAAAGAAAAAAAAAAGTTTTAACAAAAATAACTATAAAATCTATGCAATGTTTATGTTAAACCACACTAATATACACCAATTAACAATCATAATAACTTACCTATATTGTCGTTCTACTGCGAGAGGGCACCTGCGGGAGAGCAATCCATGCAACAAACGAGTTGCTTACACTTTGATCTCGCAGCAAAGTCTGCACTCGAATGGAACAGGGGAAAATCTTGTGTACATGTAACCCCAACACATCCCTCCTGTCTTTCTAATTCTTCTCTGACCCACGATGTTTTCTTGTTTTGTTTTTTAACTGGGTGACGGTTGTATAATAATCGAGTTTTTTTAAATATAAAGGGCTATTTAAAAGAAGTTATTTTAGTTCGTTATTACTCTGATTAACTCAAACACTACACGGTGGTCAGCTTGAGAAGGTATAATAACATCCCTCTACTTTGACAAAAATAAACAATTCCATTGTAACGAATTAAGTGATAGTTTCGAGTTTATTATCAAAAGAACTTAATAGATTTATCTGTGTAAATAATGTCTGTTGATTAATTTACGTGGGTTTTTTTTCATTCACTGACACTACAGGTACCGTCTAACTGAAACAACACATGAATTGATTTAATCCGCATTTACTAAAAATTCGCCTTTTTTATTTCCCTAATAATCCGTGCACCGCCATTGTTTATAATTCTTCAACTTCATTACCTCACTACAAACAATAATTATAACTGATGATATTTGATTTGGAGTAAAATGAAGAAAAAAAAACACAGAAAATTATTGAGAAAAGGTTTTATCTATACATATTACTTATAAAATCAGACACAAAACGATCGTTTGTTTGCGTATTTAAATCATTAAAGTCATGTACAATGTTATTCATGGAACGTCCTTTAATTCTTTGTAAGATAAAATAGATACAGTAGTGTCCACACAAGGTACAATTCTCTGACTGGATTCTTGAATCGACATAGTTATATCTCTGTCGGTTGATACCAAAATACTTTGAAATCTCCTATAATAATGTTCCGGGGGATTTCCGAGGGAATCAAAGAACTCTATAGATCCTTTTGAGGGAAAATAAAAAACAACCCAATGTAAACCTTTTCCCCCGCATTCGTCTGTATTCACGATCCAAACTTTGTGCTTTTTCGCAACAGCGGGCAGGTCGCCGGCGCATACGATCTGAACGTTGTATGATGATAAATAATGGTTTAAATTCGTAATTGTTCATTTGAATATAAAGCTCCTAGACTGATCAATGTGGAGAATTTGCGGGAATTTTCCGTATAATATTAAAGTAACACTCTTGGGAAGTGGTAAAGCAAAGTTTAGTTCCAAGCGACAAGTCGATGTAGGGATTAATGTTTAATACATACAAAGCATTTCCGATGGGATATTCCCCTCGCTCTATACTAACATGCTCTCTACCTAGAAGGAGGGTTTGATAAGCATCCAAGTATGCATCTGTCTCGTAATTTGCTTGGAAGGGGTTGGAGGGAAGTGATTGTCCGTCGACGTAGAAAGCTACAAAGTTACAATTAAAATGTTGAAAGTTATACGGAGATTTCTTATAATCTTCTCCTAGAAATACGTCGTCTATGGTCAAACTGAATTCCCCCTTAGCGATGGAAGTAATTTTTAAATTAGAAAACAAGTAGGAATAGACAGCAGGGGACTTCACATGCGCCATGATAAGGGCAGGATTGGGTCGCTGAATGCAAAGTTTAAAACTGGCATCGATAATTTGTATCTTGTAATCTTTACCCGCAGCTGACTGTAATCTAAATGAATCTTTGCTGGACCATAGATTCAGGGAAAGTGCGACCCCATTTAAATCCAAACGATCTTGTTAAAGAATATCTACGTGTAAGGGTCCTTCTAAGTCCACAATTTTTCCACCTTTGGTATACTGATATCAATGAAATAAACCGATGTTAATCCTTTTGATTGGGTTCGTATCGTCGGGATCAAAGGTGTCTTTAAAGTAGAGCTGAGACTGACGCACTTCGTAGTTTTCGGTGGATGTAGATAGTAAGATACCGATGTAGGCCTTGTAGGCATAATTCGTTCCCAGCTGTGACACTGGAGTGTGCTGAAGACTAGTGTCCACTTGAGCAAAGATGCTATATAGAGGTAAGTTTGTCAAACTAACGGCATTCGCAGTACAGTTAAGATGTGCAATGGAAATATCGACAAATTTTTGTGATTAAAAATGTATTTATAATCAAGATGGCGATTATTTTTAGTACTTTATTTATATCAGACAAATGTAATTATGGTTAATAACTACATATTGAGGACGATTATATTTTATATTTAGACTTGTCACGTGATGCGACAGTCACGTGATTTAAGTATATTTACATGCAGTATTGAGATCACCTATAAATTTCACTAGTGCAAGGGCATAACCAAGTTAAAATTCTAAGTTTAGTTGATAAATATTTTCAACACGCATTGTAGTTTCTGAAAAGTGCAGAGATCCTATATAGGTTCACCTATATGGTTAAAATCGTATTTGTCAATCTCTACCCAGAGTTATCGTTCCTGCTTCGCTCCACTTATACCTCTGTTAACGTCTAAAAAGTAGTGCCACGAAATCGGCAGCACGTGACTTTGATCACATGTTGTTCAAAATGGCGACGACGCCAAAGAAGGAATCGGAAATAGATTGTTGTATTTGTTTATCGCAAAATACTCGTACATTTAAATTAAAAGGAAGGAAGCTTTCATCAGAAAAGTTTGAGAGAGAGTTGAGCCTACTTTTACAGGATGATTATTTGGTCTCGAAACTGAAATGTGCAGATGCTGGTATATGCCGCAACTGTCACAACAAGGTAAAAGGTACATTTGATTTCATTCAGCAAGTGAGGTCTTCATGCATGTCGTTTTTAAATGAACCTTTTCATGTAAAAGGAACGATGCCTTCCCCTCTTACTCCGAAAAGTATTCAGGGGTGTAAAACTGTGAACCCTACTACCGTCAGTACCGACACAGTACATGTAGTTCAACCAAAGTCTAGAAAACGACTAAAAGTTACGTTCGAAAACTCAGCAGTGAAATGTCAAAATACACCTCCATCTCACGATATAACTGTACATTCTCTGCCTACAGTGTCATTCGAGCATGGCTATGCTGCTGTGAATCCAGATATAAAAATGGAAAATGTTGACCCTGCATTTCAACTGTTAAAATCTACATGGGAAAGTCTTACAAGTGACAAAGAAAATGAAGTTCCATCAGTTCTTGGAAATTCTTCTGCCAATTTTTTTCATGAATTAAGAAATCAGTCCAGATCGCTGATGTCAAGAACAACAATGCTTGCTTCGGTATTATTTAAGTACAGAGAAGCTAACTCTTTGGTGGAAAATGCAGACCTCCTTTTTCAAGATGATATATCAGAGATGAAAAACAGGTGAGTAATTTTCCCTCAGAATAAAATCTTATAAGCAACATTTATAATTTTATCAAAGATTTATTGTAAATCTTTAATATTAATGGCATATAGATATATAGTATTATTGTACATGCTATTTTCAGACTATGTATTGAATCAAATTACTTAAAATTGAATGATGTATTCAATTTTTTTTCTTGATTGACGCTCCCATCTTCCCTGTTATAAGAATCTTGAATCCTGGCAATGTTTGTTTACAGGATGCCACATTTATTAGAAGCTATGTGTTGTGTAGCTGTTCCTGTGAATGGAAAGTTATCACCATCTATAATTCCAGTTCTTGCGACATGCTATAGTATTTTGATGAAACATAAGTATTCCAACTTATCAGCTTTCCACAGACTTGCCAGTGCAATTGCAGTTGAAGGGGGACTGAATGATACAGTAAGTTATTAAAATGAATGTGCCATAATTACTAACCTGTCAATTCAAAACAAGTAATTTTGTTGGTACATGTAGTAGGAGACACCCCCACAATTTATCAGTATAGTAAACACAGTTAATTGATATATTTTGACCCCAGTGGCTATTAGATTGGCCAGAAACAAATTTCCTGATAAACTGTTTAATTCTTTTGATTCTCTAAATTATATGTGTCTCATACTTACCAGCCCCATTCCTATGCTTTTCATTTACTTCAAAGATTTTGTAGATTAGTTGACATACTTAGTTATTATCGCTTCACACAGACATTGGAAATACTAGTTAAAGAAAAAAGTGATTTTGGAGGGGGAATTTGTTTGATCAATCAATGTATTGTTTGCCGAAAATAAAACTGGGGCTTGCTGTAGATTAATGAAAGTGTTTGAAGGTGAGGGGGGGGGGGGGGGGTAGTGTCCCTAGCCCGACCCTTCCCCAGTATCCTAGTCTGTGTCTTTGTTAAAGACTTAAAGTTAAAATTGCTTGGTTATCTGTAGATTTCTAAGTACAGTTTTGATTTGCTTTAGTTATTATACATGTATTTCTTGTTTGATATGCTTGCTTATTATTAAACATTTTATAAGAGGTGTTTGATTTGCATGTTATTATTATCGTTATAATTACAGTTTGGTTACCTTAATTAGTATAGTTATTATTGTTGCAGTTGATTCAATTTTGAGTGCATGTTGACTTATCACAGGATGGATCTACCCATTAAAATGCTGAAATACAAAGACTTTGGTAAGATGGATGTTGTACTGATTCGATAAAATTAAAGAAATTCTATCCTTTTTTGTACAAAGAAAAAACCTAGCCATTTTTAAGTTTTTAATAATAAAAAAATCTATTGCAAGTATGTTATTTTTATGCTTTCTATGGTTTCATTTATTAAGTGAAATCAATTCAGTATTAAAATTCTTCAGTGTTGAGAACCCTGCCATTTGGAAAATGCATTCATTCATTTATTCTCTCAATAAACTATATGAATGGTACAAGAGGTACAATATATATATATATATATATATATATATATATATATATATATATATATATCTATTTACAAAAACCTATAGTCCCCTCCGGTTTCACCGGTAGGGGACTAATAATTATGGACAAGCAGAGATTACAGGAGGACAGAAATTATGAAAAGGAGATTTTTTAATCACAATTTTCCTGCTCAATATTCAGGGCCACTTAGGAATCATGTTGTCATCTCAGAGAAGATTGAACTTTCAAGAATCCATTGGTTGTGCATCACAGAATCTAATAATCGCAAATTTGAAATCCAATCCACTGGTGAAGGTGACAGGTGAGAATAAATTAATATTTTAACTTGCTACCTTTTACCTGCTACTTTTAAATAATACATATATAACTTCCAATATTGCAGTATTTATTAACAGAATTTTTTTTCTTGTAGGTGATAACCTAGATATATATATTATGAGATCAAACCTGACATCAGACAACAGGAATCTGGATCTTCATCTATTTACCTCAAATATCATTTTTAGTCGAGTTGCTACAGTTGACATGAATAATGATATACCAAATACTGATGTGTCCCAATTATCTGCAGATGATGTTCTCCTTAGAGCAAGTGGCCCAGAAAGACTTAAGTTCATGGATGTATGTTGTGTGTTGCTCTGCAGAATATTATGTCAATTGCCATATTTTCAGAAGTTTGGGAAGATTTTGCCAAAACATATTCCACATGAATTTTCACAGAAAATGGCTAGTGCTTCAAAAGTTATGTCATTGCCCATCCAGTTCAAAAATGAAGCTAAGCATGAAGATTGCTTAGCAATTATGGATAAGTTTGAAGACCAGATTACAACAATGTACCAAACTGCCTTCGGTAAATATATGTTCTCACATTTATAACTTGACTAGTGGTTGATTTATTAGTTGTGATTTAAGATATACAATGTGGTCATTTTAATGTTCATTTAATGGTATTATTGGCCCACTATATACATATACATGTACATACTCCAGTACTAGTCTTAGGAATAAGCATATTTTATGTATGTCTTCCTTCTATACCTATTTTTTTCTCTTCGTAAAACAGGTAATTTGGAAACTCTTAGAAAATTCAAAGTGGTTTTGGGGGGAGACCAGTTAACGAGAGCAAGATTGCAAGAGGCAAAAAACCTGCGGACCATCTCTATAACACCTGAAAGAAGATTTGATGATTTGAACCCAATTGTAATTGAGATGTGGCATAACAAACAAGACTTTTTAGAGGTATCATCACCTTAATAACATTTAAGAAACTTTTTATCATTATATGGAAAAGACTTTATTTTTGAATTAAAAACCATACTTTTATGGTTAAAATTATCATTATAAGCGTACAAACATGGGAATTGTCAGTCATAAATAACCCTCCGACCTTTCAACTTGATAAAGTGATAAAAAAAATTTAAAATTCAGATAGAATTTTTTGTATTTTAGAAATGCTTCAAGTGCTTATACAAGGGTGAGAATTCTCCTGGAACACTCAGCTTTTTCAAAACGCTCTTACATCGGACAAATGTGAATGGGCAGGTGAAAGGAAGATTCCAACCCCACTTTGATCTTCTTATGACTGTTGGGGAGGGACTGGTTAAAGAACAGTTTATGGAATTTTTCCAAATGGAGAATAAGTACAGCCAACCCAACCACAAGAACTTTGAAGATATTGACATCAAATCATCTGAAGAACAGAAATCTTTATTACTGGCTGCTGTGATTGATTTTATGAAGTATTTTGGATACTGCAATGCAGATACAGCTGAAGGTCTTCCTCAACCACTAAGGGGAACATTGAAATACCATCTACAAAAAACAGGGGATGAAAATCAGTGGATTCTAGTGCCATACCATGAAAAACCACTAGATGATGAAGTCTTTAACTATTCAATGCAACTCTGTCATTGGTATTTGCATATTTTGGAGCTGCATGATACCGCAAAAGAAGGTGATCTAAATCGAACAATTCTCAACTGTAAATATTCAATTCCATTTTTCTATTCTCATTCAAGATTAAGCAAATACCTGGTTGAGAATGTGGACTATCTATTGAAAACAGAAAAATTACTGTCTCCTTTGCAACGCATTCGTGTTTTGGAGGGTTCCTATGTCAACATTTGGGGTGGTCATGGCAATAATGTTGAATGTGACTTAGTACAGGCACACAGTGTATGTAATCAAAAAGCTCTAATCAAAGCATTGGGAGCAAACAAAAGTGAGAAATCCATTTCTCGTGTGACCGCATCAGCTGATGCAATTGATGAAGTCTGCACAAAATTTGATAGAAGTGTGAATTTAAAGCCAAAAAGTGGCAGACATTCTTTGTCATTTTCTGAAGCAGACAGTGAAATTGTTTATAAAAAATTGAGAGACTTAAGACCATTTCAACACTACCCAGGCAGAACCTGTAAGGGATTCAATAATATAAGCCCTGTTCCACTCCCTGGGGAAGAAATGCCCAAACTGAGAGAGAGACTTAACCAAATCATAAAGAGACTTTCACGTGGCTTTCAAATTATGCCGGCTGAGGAGGATGCGTTTGATCCTGATAATGAAATTATTGATAATCTGCCACCATTATGAATCTGTTGTCTGTAAATACGACAACATTTCCCCTATGTTGTTTGCTTCGTGCATGGAGATTTTATAATTTTATCCATTGCATAAGTTACATGTATGGCATTATGTTAAATGGATTAGAACAATTTCCATTTTTGCTTAAGGTCTAAGTTGGCTTCACCAAATAAAGAATGCTGTATCACTCTGTATCTAATACATGTATATTCAAAGCTGTTAGCAATTCATGGTTATTCATGGTGAACTGTAATGTATTTATTTTTCTACAACCTGTTAAAAGATTTCAATTAAATACTGCATCACAGGCACATGTTAAAAATGCAAGAACGGGAGTAATTTTGTCCATGAGCTGTTTTTATTTTGATTTTACATAGCAGTAAACTGACATATTTGCAATATATGTTCAAACATAGTAATAAAGAATATAATGTAATGTTTCCTTAAATCATGATGGTTTGCTTTCTTCTTTCATAAATGAAAATGTTTATAACATGTTTATGAAACAGGAAGAATCTACTGTAAACATAAAACATTTTGCTGTGTAGGGCTTTTGGTGGAAAGTTGAATGCTTTCAATAAATTGAGTGCATCACATAATAAGAATAGGTACATTCAGATTATATATACTTCCTTATATAAACCTACAGAAGAGCATAAACATTCATTTCTGTGTGAACTTTTAAACGGGTCAAGAGGTCAATCTTGATAATCACAATGATTATCGCACGAACTTGTGGTTTGATTTTTGCAGTACTACAATGTTCATAATTCTAAAGTTTGTAACTTCAGAGAAGAGATTCAATGAACTGTACCCAGTTGTATGTAAAATGTGGCACAGAGAGCAATTTTTTTTTAGAGGTTCAGTTAATAATTGTTTCAGACATGCATATTTTGTAAACTTGTTACATCAACACAAGATTCACAAATACAGTTTTCAGCACAAAACGAACAACATTTACAGTCAATAATGCTTTCTTTTTTTTCAAAACCAAAGACAGATAAAAGTTGATTCCTTAGGCAGAAAGAATCATTTTTACAGTAGTTTATGATGTCTTCCTTAATTCCTGGCAGATTCTTTCCTATATCACGATTAGAATAGAATAAAGTTGCAAATGAAGGTTGTCCACAGCGACCTGCACGCCCAATCTCCTGCAAGTATTGTGACATATTTCTGGGAGGGCATGCATGAATAATATGTGTTACATTTTTGGGATCGAACCCCATTCCTGCAATTGATGTTGTTAGAACCAACCGAATAGTTGGGTTCTCCTTTTTCAGTTCTGCTATTGTATGATTAATTACATATTCATCTTGTCCAGAACATATTGCACTGTAGAGTGATTCATTGATATTTAAAGAACCAAACAAGCTTTTCAAATAAATCGTAGCTTCACTCATGTAATATATGGGCAAAAATAATAATGTTACTGGGAAATCTGCCTTCTTTTCATATAGATCATCACATATTTTGTGGACTATTTGTTCATATTCATTCAGAACATCAGTACCTTGGCCTTTCTTCTTTTTTATTAGGAATATATTAGGTCTGTCAGGTGTATGTTCTATAAGATGAAAATTCTCAAGTCCCAGCTGTTTTGGAATTGTTCTCTTCTGTGAAACTGTTAAAGTACCACTCAAACCTATCACTGGCACATTTGGAAAAAAGGATTTTACACCTCTAAGCTTCTTGAAGGCAGTCCTGAATTCTTCTCCCCTGAAATAAGGTTTCGTATATTCTATTTAACTAATCATGAAAAAGGAAGATTATGGGTTATGTGTGAATGAGACATCATCCTGATAAAATTGTACATTCTGATGATTCATATCTTACTCAGTAACTATCTAAAATGGAGGTACATGACCTTTGAAATAGTTATATGGTCTATACAACAAAAATGATACAAAATGTGTCATGGAAGTCACCACAAAGCGTTGTGTCATTTTCGAGCATACAGTCAGATGAAAAATCATAATTCAGTACACTTTGAACAAAAGAAAGGTTTTGAATATTTTCATGATAAACATTAAAGGAGATCTTTTTATTCTGTCTGAGTAATGGTTTTTATTTTATTTTAATAGTATGTTTTACTTACCATTTCTCTATGATATGGCATTCATCAATAACAACGGCGACTACTTGTGAGGCAAACTGCTCATCGGACAGTATTTCATGTCCTGTTTTTGTATTAAAGAGGGCCTCTGGATGACACAGAACAATTGAAAAATCCCCCTTCTTCACTCTCTCGACATCGACCTCCCACTCGGCAATTAAATCACAATCTGTGGTGTCTTCCACCCTGGACACAATATTCAGTCTACAGGCACTGATACCATGAACTTTCAAGGCTTCAATTTGATCCTTTTGAATAATATTCAAAGGTGAAATTGTCAAACAAACGGGGGTCTCCTTGCCTTTGCCCAGAACCTTTGGGAGTAGGTGATATACGAGACTCTTTCCATAACCGACAGGCAAACTAAGCAACAGATCTCCTTTCTTGTCACGTAGATATTCAAAGGCTTGTCTTTGACAATCCCTTAACACGATGTTCTTGTCATAATCTTTTACAATTGTATCCAATGTTGACATATTTCACGTCAAATCAAAGATCGTCCAACAGCGTGTTTTAAATGAACCACTTCCTCCATGATTGTTTACATTGGTAATGGAGTATTACTCCGAGAAATAGTCCTTTGTTTGTTACCGTGATTTACCAATAAATTCTTTTTATTTCAATATTTTAGCAAGGCTTTAACATCAAAATATAGATTGAATACATATAAAACTATAATTTGTAATATCATGATTGAGAATGAGTTTTGCCAAGATTCTTGGCATTTAGACGTTAACAGAGGTGTTGTAGCGAAGCGTAATACGCCCTCTGGTGAGAGATTGCGTATTTGTATGACCGCATGTTGTATTTTTTGCTGGTCAACGGAATTAAATGTAGATATACCTAGACTCTTGTTGCCATGGCAACAAAAAAGTCTTCCGTTCTTCTAAATCTGTAAGAAATTGCTTTTTTTTCTGTGCAAAAAAACTTACATATCATATTTACTGTGAATGAAAAAAAAACTGAAAAAAGTCCTTTCAGTACTTAAGGCACTTTGATTTTCATGATCAATCTTGTACATGCATTTTGCACCTATAAGAGATATACGTATATTATAGAGCAAGGATAATTAGCAATTTAAAAAAAAATTGCAATCATTTCTAAGACAAAGAAACAGACGAACGAACACCGTGCTATCACTGAGCTGTGTATATGTTAATACATCCAAATGCCTAAACTGGGTTTTCAGTTTTTTAAAAGGTGGCGCGATTAGCCCGGTCCGGTTTTTTACTACCCCATTTTACCGAAACTGGTCTACCTGATTTCCCGCCAGAAGCAAGCCAGGGCAGAAGACATCGTCGAAGAGAGACTGAAATTTCAAATGGACTGGAGACAATATTGAATATAACAAGTTTGTATCAATGACAAAATTATAAGTTATTTTTGGAAACTTTAAATCCAATGGTTATTAAACTTCTATTAATTTAAATGTTGTTAAATCATATGTGAAACACTGTGCCTGTGAACTTGAAGAAGGGGTGTAAAAAAAAAAAATGAAAAAAATAAGAAATAACAATACTTCGTATATAATTTTGTTTTGGCCACATGTAATAGCCTTATTTGGTTTGATTGCTGTAGGATTGGACTACACGTACGCTGGAATAAAATTTTAAAAGGTAGTATAAAGTAGAGAACCATTGATCATTAAATCTTGTAAAGGGACAAAGTTTTTTTTTTTTCAAAGTCTGACTCTGATTTGAACCAAGGGGCATCTTATCTGCTCTGTTCTCTACTTCACATATGAAAATACATTTTTATTATATTTTTATAATTATGTGTATATAGTAGAGAACAGAACAGATAAGATGCCCCTGTAGTTGAACTAGACAACACAATTTAAACATCTTGCAATTAAAAAAAATGTCACATTTTGTTAAATATGCAATTATTGAACTAAATTATACATGGATCATAATATTATGAACACTTAATATTAACAAGACCACAATGGAATCTGTAGAAGTCGATCATATATCATTCAAATTTTGAAAATATTCTCCTTAACTTAAATCACTTAATATGGATTTGAATATAGATTGTGTCATTTATATATTATGATTAATTTTGACGTCAAAAGTATTCAATAAAGGTTTGATGACACGTTCCTTAAATACTTTTGTACTCAAAGTAATTTACCAAAAATAGGTAAAAATATTGTTATTGTTTTATTTCTAAACTGAAAACTGTTTTCAAAATGAAACACCCCAAAAATTGACATCATTTAAGTTATGTACAGGATATACCATCCGTTGATATTCTGCACAAATGCCCTGGTAAGGTACTTCCAAAATAGTTAGCAAAGCTTCAAACGCAATTAAACTATTTAGAAAAATTATATGTCATTGAAGTCTGACCTTAAGATTTTACATTTTACCTTAGGCCAATGCTTATTGTTTTATAATATTAGGGGAAAATAGTATATCATATTCTGAAGAAGCACAGCAGTTATATTTATTCATTTTCAATTTGAAGAAATTCAATAATCAATTGAAAATCAATTGTTAGATTAGAAAATGTAGGGAAATTCTCTTGTCAACAGTATTATGATCCACCACTGTACATTTTAACATTCATTTGAAAACTAACTGGAAAATTATGAAACACAAATTTAAAATTATCTGAATTTCATAGTACCGTAGTTATGTATAGTAATAGTCGCTTAAAATGGAGATGCTATATTTCTGCAAAGTCTCCCAAATCAAGTGATGGTGAGAAGGATTCATTTATGATGCTAGCTGTCTTTCCTAAATTGGTTTAGTCTTTAGTCTTCTTTGTAGGCCTTCCCTTTCTTTGCCTTTTTTGCTGGATTGTACTGCTCACTTAAAAGGAAGAAAAGGATAATAAAGGTAAGCCAACATTTTAAAATTTCTGTTCGAGCCTAATTAAACCTGTTGACTTGCACATTTTTCCTTAGTGTATTTATGTGTAAACATCAGCATGATTCTCAAGTTTAGATTGCTCTGAGTTGAGAGTAATTTTTAACAATAGAAAATAAAATAATAAAAGTCCTTAGCTTTTTCTAAGTAATTTAAAGTAATTAAAAAGCAATTTAAAGTGAATTGCTTTACACATCCTTGATTTAATTATTTTTTGTCATCTAATGTAGGTAAAATGTTCCGAACCGGAAAGCAGTGAAGCAAAAGAAACTTAATTACATTTCAACAACTGTCAGCCCTCTCGATTTTCCGATTGCCTGGACCCCTTCCTGGAAGGTCTTGTCAGGGTAAAGTTTTACAAGTTGTCCACTTCTAATCTTCAATGTTACTCCTTCTACTATAAATTAGCTGTATTTTCTGGAATAGATAAAGGAAGTATTGAGAGTATTTTAAAAGATTTGAGTTAACAATATAGTCCAAGGACCAGGCCTGGAGGAAGCAATTTCAGTCTGGGAAGGCACAGCCATATATTTTCAGTTTGGGGCACTATCAACTACCAAAATTTCCTTGACAAACAAAAAAAAGTTTTGAGGGGGCACGAGCATATAGTAGCTATGTTTTCTATTGTATAGTATATCTCGGCAAAACTATGGGGGGGGGGGGGGGGGCAACCCACACCCTCCCCTTGTTCCTACGCCCATGCTAAGGACAATGAAGTTTTTTTTCTTTTACCACATCTTCCACACTTCTCTCCTCCAAAAGATATGTTTTACTTTTTTTAAAGTTTATGGTCAGTCCTATTTTTTATTTTTTTTTTTAAGTTTATCTTCAAATTTTAAATGTCTAAGGAAGGAAGAACATCCCCACAAACTGTGTTGGCTCCAAAAAAAGCTATGTATGAAGATAATAAATTTAAATGGTTTTATCAGTATTATCAAGTTCATCCGGGGACATTGAACTCTGAGAACTTGCAAATCATTTCCTTGGGAGGGGTTCTTGTAATAAAATTACACCAAAAGCAAATTGGTGTCAAAATCAGGTCTTGTCATGTTGATCAGAAGAAAATTAGAACTAGTTTTTGCAACTTAATCAGTATGAAAAAGAGACTTACTCATGGGGTTCAAGGGCCTCAACTTCTCCTTTGAAGTGCATCTCTTCATCAGTCTCCTACAATATATTAGAATAGAGAGATATATGATGTTTAGCAGTAATCAAATGTTCCAGTCATTGTTTCACAATAAAACAATTGCAACACAAATTGAAGTGTGAAGAATAAACTGTAGTATGTTTAGGCACCATTGTTTTTTATCAAAATCTGTAAGTGTCATTCTCACTATAGAACGGATGCAATAATACAGAATATCATTTTCATTAATTCGGATTTTTAATTTATATTAATACCTTTTTTATGGGAGTGTGTGGTTTTGTAAGTGTGTGTGTGCGTTTTTTTTTTGTTTTTTTTTTTGTTTTTTTTTTTTTGGGGGGGGGGTCCACCTTTTTCAAATTTTATAGTACAATTACTAACAATGTCCTATTATGAATATCAAAGAAAAATTCACTCAAGTTTGCAGCTCTTATTTTATATCAGAAATCACTACATGCAAAGTTCATAAACATATATAAGCTACTAACAGTACCACATGGTAGAGACTTCATTAGTTTGAATTGTTCTACACAAAACATCTTTTTTTGAGTGGATTTCTTTAATGTCAGAGAATTCTATAGTCTTGATTAATGTATGTATGAAAGTCTACTTGAGGATTAATAATAATACTGTATATATGTAAAAAAAAAGAAGTAATTATTAATGATTTATATACTATATAAATCATAAATAATTACATTTTTTTTTAGTAAATAAAGTATATTATTATTATTTCTTTAGTTATATTGTTTGTATTATGTTTTAATTAATAAAATTGCACTTTATGTACAACATATTCTGTAGATAATAAAGATTTAAAAAAATCCTCAACAAGACTTTCATACACACATTAATCAAAGAAAATGTGGGTTAGAATCCATGGGGTGGGTGTTTTTGATCCTAAATATATACTTTCTATAATATTTAAACCCCTTTTTGTTTCTTTAGTATTCTTCTTTAGTCATTCCTGAGCACATATAAACTGTATATCAATCAAAATATCAAGAAATTTAGTCAAATGTTTAATGGGTCACTTTTCACTAAAACCTGAAATCACAGATGGAAAAAAATATGTTAGGGTACCCATGTTTAAGATGCTCTCTTTTTTTTTAATATTAAAGATAATCCAAAAACTTTTGGTGTTTTAATCTGGAATAATAGGCAATTCTAAATATATAATTTATTTCAAGATATTTTGATATTTAAAATTTCATGAGCATTGCTAACGGAAGATCCCTCTTAATTAGGAGGCCAAAAGGTCAAGGTCGTAAATACATTTATTCTGTGGAACTGTAAAACTTTTAATTGTAGGCGATATACCAAGAAGCTTTTGAGCTTTTGCAATGAAATTTTATACCATAACTCCTTATGCCCCCGCCTGTCCTTTTAAAGTGTCCCCCTTTAGACCCTCCCCCCTTCCTAGATCCGTGCATACTCCTCTTTTTCCTTAAGCGGG